GCATTAAAAGATAATACTACTGTTTTTTGGCATTGTGGAGTTTGGCTCTTTCAACTAGTTATTATCAGTGCTCTGTGTGTGTAATGTGTTATCTTTATTGCTTGGGTTTAAAGTTTTCAAATGACAAGAAATTAAATGACACTCCTTGGAGAAATATTTTTTTTCTATTGCTGTAGGAGCTCAATGTGGGTGTGGTAATTCCTTAGCAAGTCTAGGCAGGAAATGCAGTGCTTGCTCTGCAGGCAGGTCAGGCCATCAGCTTAATACCATACCTCCCCCTATGCTGTGGCTGCACGCCAGGTATCTGCTCTTTCAGTGTCTGGCTCTGAGCAACAGCCAAAGGGCCATACACTGTAATTGATTTAATGTCACCTTGTGGGGAATGATGGAGAGCAAGGAACAGGAAGATAAACAGAAAGCTCTGTGGCACATATGCTTAAATAGTCATGTATCCAGGTTGTAACTGTATTGGTTTAGAGGCAAAGGGAATCAAAACTTGTGGCAGAGGTGATATCTTTTATTAGACCAACTAGATGTTTCCAAAACTATGTTTTTTATTTGCAAGCTTTCAGGCACAGGCACCCTTCATCAGGCGTAGGAGATTGTAAGGATTGTAAAAGTTTTCCTGGGTAGAAATGAAAAATGTTTAAATAGGACACTGGAAAAATACTGGAGTCAAGGGATTTCTTGAGGTGATCTTGGGAGGGCATGTCTTGGACAAGTTGTTCTCAGCCTTTTTAGATTCAGGGCACCTTCTATAACTTTTTAAAATTTAGCATCACCCCAGTTGAGAACCGCTTACCAGCTGAGACAGCAGAACAGTGGTTTTCAACTGGGGCCCTGCTGCCACTGTGGCAGCCAGGTGAAACTGCCCCGTGCACCTTGTACACAGCCAGATACCCCTAATATAATCAGGAGCAACTGCCCTTGCCACAGCCCTTGTGGATCCAGCCCTGCCATGCTCCTCCTGGTAAGAGGTGTGTGACAGTTCCCCCTGCACTGCTTGCTTCTTTTCTGGGAAGAGCATGGGTGGTTGGACTGGGAAGGGTTGTCTGGGCTCTCCTGCCTGGTTTCGGTTTATCCAGCGATAACCCTGCAGGAAGGAGCATGCACTCATGCTTGAAGCTCTTCCTAATTTGACAGTGCAAGAGGCCTGTGTGGCAGTTCCACCTAGCCTCTAGCACCCTTGAAAGGGTATCAGTTGCCATGGAGTTGTTCTTTTTTGACTCTCCACAGGCTTAAATGAGCATAACTGCATTGATTATAATTGTGGAATACATAAGCCTCACTGTATAATTAATTTCTTCCCTGTGAGTGCTGCTGCTTTTTTTCCTTTCTTTATTTGTTTTTGAAGTTAGGCAGAGGGAAGAAACTGAGTCTTTATGCTGGTGATGGATTTCATCCAGCAGGAAACATGGGAAGCATCATTTTAATCCAAAACTTCATCTCCAAATAATTGGTTGATATTTTAGGTAACAAAAAAGTTTCTTTTTTTTCTCTGTTGTTTTTCTTTCTCCGCTCCCCCTTCTTGGTACTTTCAAAGTTCTAAGATCAGCAGAATGGGTGTCTGCTTTTCCCTCCTTCTACCATGACAAAAATGGTCAAGGCTGACCAGGACTTTGTAAAATTATGTGTCACTTTCTCATGACTTCAGTTTTCAAATAAAACAATTGGGTGTTTTCTCGTGGGGGTTTTTTGTCCCTCTCTGCCTCCCCTCCTTCCTTCCTCCTATTCCTCCACTAACTGCAATCTCTCCATACTCTACAAGGAATCTGTACCCTCTTTGGCTGATATACTTTTGAGCAGTAGAAATTCTCTATTATTGGCAGTTAGCTTACTGGGGCTATGAGCCAGAACAAAGTCTTCCTTATATTCCTATAGATCTTTCTATGGAATGCAAACAGAAGTAGCAGCACAGGTGTCCCTTGCTTTATGCTGTACATGCGTTCCTGGAAAATGGCACATAACTCAAATTCTTATAAAGAGAACCCACTTTACAATGTAACCAATAGGGATACGTTCCAAGACCTTGACTGTACTGACCCCCAGACCTATTTTTACCACTTTTACAAGACAATTTTGGTACTCACCAGCAGCAAACAGTACACACAAGCACAGGACACTACCGTAATGGAGGTGGGAAGTACAGAAACACGTTGCAGACAATGAGTGAGGCGCACAGATCCTCACAGAGGAGACTATATTTTGGTGCGCATCACTCCCACAATGCACCACACAAAACAGCTGACTGAGGGCTTCCACCACACCAATTGCATAGGAGTGGATTTACCTTGTATATAATGAATTTTTGGTATAAAAAGGGTGAACTCATTGCATAAGAGTGAGTTTGCACATACAGAACCTGCATAAAGTGAAGGAAACCTGTATAGTAGCAACTTACTGTATTTATTCAATTATAAGAGAACCCCCTCCCCCCAATAATATGATTCGATATATGGATAATTTATAAATTTGTTATAATTTTGCAGGTATAGAATTTAATTATTGGAGGTTTGCTTTGAATTTGTCTCCCTCCCACTGCTACAGCAGGGAAAATGAATTTGGAGGGGTCAGGTAGCCCCTTTGCCCCCTGCCCCCCCCAACTTCTTCTCCTACAGCCCCTTCCCCCTCTTGTTCATGTCAGACTTTGTTGAGGACATGGAAATCTGAAAACACTGACTTTGAAATAAACATGTCTGTAGTCATTTATGTATTGGTAAATTACTGAGTACCCATAGGCTTAGTTTATCCAGAATTGACGTATTTTACCTTTTTTTGAAATTGTTGCAAGTTTTAGCACGGGTACTCCATAAACACACTCTTAAGCAGAGCTTTTATACCAACCTATGTATAGTACAAACTGGGCGCATCTATACGAGATGCTGTGTTGCTATGGTGACATAGTGTCGGCAGACACGAACCGTGACACGGCTGCTACTGTGCTGTAGCAATGAGCTACTGTGCAGTAGTGTCAAAAATGACCCATGCAGCACTGGGACAGTGCAGAAAGAACTGTACAGTCAAGCACATATGTGGACACACCCACTGTGTATGATATTAGTCCAAAGCCAAAGGGCTCATGATTTACCCTATAGTGCATTGGCCTGGGCCCCAGCAGAGTCAACAGAATTTCAAGCCATGGTGATGACCCCAAAGCTCAGCATTGGTCAGTATGTGTGTGTACTCCAGATTCCCCTCTCCTCCTCCTCACCCCACAGCCATGTGTTAATTAGTCCCCACTCATGACTGGAGCTGGGTGATCTTGTCACAAGTTCTGGGATCCTCCAAAAATCTACATGCAGATGAGATGCAGGGCAACATGGTCCGGCTCCACCTCATGAAGATAGGGGCCTCTCTAATCATATGCAACAGGCTGAGAGATGGGGTGACAAAGGGATTCTGGGTAAACTGTTTGGGGCCCCATTTGATGATGTTTGCCAGACATTTAAGGCTGGTGAAACAGGAATCCTTGGAAATGGGAAAGAAAGGCACAGGTGAGCTTTGGGAGTGAAGAGGAAATAAAAATGTATTCAGAGTAGTAGCTCACTATGACTGGAAAAGGAGTAATCGCCGAGGGGTCTGGCAAGTTCACGAGTAGGATTAGTAATGTGGACTATAAGTTGTTTAGCAGAGACACTGTATTAGAGGTACTAAGTATTTTCAGTTATAAATTATATCAATGTATTCAAACAATTTTTGCTTTTTTTGAGAGATTCCAAGTGAACCATGAGGTGCTTTGGAATGCTGCAAATTAAGGGAAGCATTCCGTTCTCTGATCAGTATTCTAACTGCAGTGCATTTCTCATTCAGTGTTCCATCTCATTAAGAGTTCTGCATGTCAGAGGAGAGCAGAATACAGAAGTTGATATTTGCTTGAAAGAGCTGAGTGTAGAGTGTCACTGTAACTTCTCCACTCCAAGTGATTAGCATGCTGTAACTCCCCATTTATCAGTTCTCCAGACACAAACATGGCAAGGTGTTCTGACGCTTCAGTGATTAATGTAGAATAAACTCTGCTTAGAAAGTTAGGTCACAACTTGAATATCTGTTCTTCTCAAGTATGTAGTCCCAGAGTGTGACTAGGTTAACAGCAGAAGTTCATAGGAGGGTAGGGGCTGGAAAGGAAGGACCTTATGAGGTCTCAACGTCCTTGCAGGTATATTGTTTACATGCCCTATTTCTACCTCATTGTTAATTTATTATCTAGAATTATGTGAAAGGATATTTTATATCTATGTTCCTCTTTATAGCTTCCAATTAAAATAGCATTCCTGGTTTTAAAAAAAAAAAAAAGGGACAAAAACAGTATTTTTGTATTCACTCTGGGTGTGGTGTAGTGTAGCTATGGGTGGAAATTGTTAAGAAAAAAGTGTTACCTTCTGAAACTGCCCTTTTGAGATACCAGTATAGATGACTTCAGAGCTGCGTATTATGAAGCACTTTTCTTCTATGCAGTGTTTGAGTACTGAAAAGACCAACTTTGCTGTCATTCACATTGTCATCATTAATTTTCATAATTAATAACTAATTTAGATGGATAGCATAGATATAGCTGTATTGGCTACACTAGGTTCATATTTTGAAAGTTTTCTTTGCAGTACAAAAGCTTAGAGACTTTAGGTTTAAATTTGGCCTTTTCCTGGTTTGCTTTGTTTTGCTTTCAAATGAATGTATCTTAGAGTGCAGGTTGGTAGCCCCCAGAAGAGTAATGGTTTGGACCCTGATATATATATTTTGGGTTAAAGTGGTATATATGCTAAATAATAGAGTTCTGGAATTGGGACCATATCAGTTTAAGTAAGCATTCAGCATGTGCCTAAATCTTAGAACTTGAGCACAACTATAAAGTCAATAGAAAATATTTTCCTGAACTGGGATCAAAATTTGTTAATTTTGACCTATACTGTGCCATGCTGTTGTATGGCATAATTTGGAAAGGAGTATTCAAATGCATTAATATTTATTATACTAATTTGTATTGACTTATTTTTCCCCAACAGAAAATTTTTCAAGCTGGAGACACTAATCAGGATGGACAGCTAGACTTTGAAGAATTTATGCAATATCTTAAAGACCATGAGAAAAAAATGAAACTAGCATTTAAGAGTCTGGACAAAAACAATGATGGTATGTCTTGATTTCCCCCCTTTCCCCCACCTTTTCCTGGTGTTCAAAATGCTTTTTGAATGAAAAGATACATTGTTGTTTGGTACATATACTGAACTAAATGTACAGAATGCAACATGTGAACATGAAACCTGTATTTGCTTCCTTTTTTATGTTGGTGGGATAAGGAGAACTTAATAATTTTACTATCCATCTTGGAGTCACAGACTAAAAAAAATTAAAGGCTGTAAAATTATTATGTTCTCCTTCATTTACAGGCTTAGAGTAAGCTAGCCTGAGGATCTTTGCTCCATAGTTGGAGTAGCTGTGAGGAAGTCTCTAACTAGAAAATATTTTTCTCAGTCTTTGATAGAAATGGACTAGATATTTGTATCCCTTATTCCTATAGCATGTTAGTGACATCCTTATGTATAGGGACCTACCGGAATCAAGGAATCAGGTCGTCAGTTTCATGGCCCGATTTTGTGGGACTGCCCGACATTTTCATGGGTTTATAGTGGCAGCCCTGTCATGCCACCGATTGGTCAAGGGGCTCTGGTGGCTCCCACTCCTCACTGCTGGTTGCTGAGAGGCCTGTCCATCATATGGCCTTGTCCCTTGCTGCTGATTGGCCAAGACAGCTGTCTGTTCTGTTGCCCTGCCCCTCACTGCTGATTGGCAGAAATGGATGGGGCTGTGTGATGGGCAACCTTCTCAGGCAGTCAGCAGTGTGGGGGGGGTGGCTGCCATCTTGGCTGCTCCTCTTTGTGCCAGTGGTTTCCCCCACCCCCCCAGTGGGTTGCGAGGCCAAGCCACCGTAGCTGTGAGGACTGTTAGCTCCCACTGGGGGGCAGCAAGCAATGCCTGATTTTGCAAAATGTCAATTTCCACAAAATCGCAAATTGAATAGGTCCTTATTTATGTATTATAGTGACTTAGCAGAGATAATGAAAGTATACGTTTATAAGCTTATACATTTAAATGCTCTGTGCTGCTTTGAACGTACTGTATAATGCAATTTAATGATTTTTCCAAATCTTTTAAGTGGATCAGAAGTCATTGACTTTGCATTTAGCAAGATCTGAAGGAACTTTTAACATTTCCTTTTTTTTTATAACATTTTAAGGAAGAATTGAAGCATCAGAGGTTGTCCAGGCACTCAAGATATTGGGTATAAATATTTCAGAGCGTCAGGCAGAAAAAATCTTACAAAGGTTTGTGTTTGTTTATTTCTGCTCAGTGTTCTTGATGCATTTCTAATAAGTGTTAACTATTGCTTAAGAAAATGCAATACTCATCTTTCATTCTTAAATGTATACAGAATAGTATGAGTTATTCTAATATGTAGCCCGTATTCCATCTTTGAGACTAATGCAAGTAATACATTTTCTGGTCATTCATTTATTAAGTTAATGTGCAACTCTAAAAGCATTTTTTAACAACTATCACAGCTGCTCTATTGTAATCTGATATGTATATTATAAACTCTTGTATTCTACATAATGAATAGTTATTGGCTTACAATTTAACAACAAGAATATTTTCTGTTTGCTTTGTGCAGAGAACTAAAGATCTGTGAAGCCCCTTCCAAATGTAATAGTAGAGATTTTTCACATACTTCTGTGAGGCTGGGTTTACATGTGTGGACAGGACTTAAAGTCTTAAAGTTTGTAATCAAATGAAATAATATTTCTCATTGCTAACTGATTGACACAGTGATTAACAGGGATCCAGGTTTTCTGTTTCATGTGAGGAAAATGTAGAAAAACACAGATTTTCCCTTTTAAAGGAGAGAAATCCAGATTTTCCCCTTTGAAGTAGGAAACTGCTGGCAGGGAACAAACTGTGGCCAAGGGGCAGCGGTCAGACGCAGCTAATCCACTAGAGGTTGCTGCCCAGCCGTGGAGCTGTCACTTCCCTTCACCCTGATGGGCAGGGGCTGAGGTTGCGGTTGCACACAGAGCCAGGGCTGTGAACCTCTCTTGTGCTTGGATCCTGATGCCACAGAGAGGGAGGTGCCGAGCCCCCCATAGTGGTCAGGCAGGGCCTTCCTACCACAGCACTGAGACTCCCAGCCATGCAGGGGGTCTGCCTGGCCCCTCTGCAGCAGCCCTAGGGCATTCCTGAGGGGCGGTAGCATAGCGGGGATCCTGGGGGCAGCATTTGGGCTACAACAGTGGCCTTCCAGGATGGAGCTGCTGTGTTGCTGCCCCTCAGAAATGCTCTGGGTTTGTGCTTACTGCATGAAGGGCCAGCAGAAATCCCATAAGACTTGGCACTGCCTGCTCCAGCTGCCGCAGTGCTTCCTTGGCCTGAGCCAGCCATGCACCCAGCCCCACCTCAGGGCGGGGCTAGGTGTCACGTGGCCCCAGCGTCACAAGTGGGGGGGGGGGAAGGATGCAGCACGCGCTGTGGAGGCTGCCCCGCCAAGACCAAACTGCTCCCGCCCCCCCTTTCCCCCCTGCACCCTTCCCCGGGGCAAGCTGGGGAGGGCTCAGCCTGGCAGCATGGAGGAGCATGCCAGATACAGGCTTCAGGAGTACAAGCATGGTGAGAGGTGCAGGGAGCGGGTCGTCCTGTTTAGGTCCTGCTACTGTGAGGGCGTGGGCAGACCCATGGTGCAGCTGGGAGTCTCAGTGCTGTGGCAGGAAGGCTCCATCTGATCCCTTCATGGGGCCTGGTACCTTCACCCTGCTCCCCATGGCAGCAGGATTGGGATCTTGGCACAGGAGATGTCCACAACCCCATCCCCTGCCCCTGCCTGTGGTGGCGAGGGGAAGCCACGGCTCTGTAGCTGGGCAGCACTGCCTAGTGGCTCAGCTGCACACACTACCCCCTGCTTGTAGCTTGTTCTCCACCAGCAATTTGGGACCTGTGCAGCACCAGGAGCACAGTGAAGAGGTAGGGAGCTGGAGCCATTCCTCCTGGAGGTCACTAAACTATGTATGGCCTATCTGTTAACCATTTAACCAATATAATTGGAAAAGGTTAAATGAATAGTATGTCAAATGATACTTACATTCCTACCTGCAGGGAAAGCCAGCAGGGCAGGGGGGTGCAGGTGACAGTGCCAGGGCTGGGGGGTGGGCTGTGGCTTGGGAGTGAGGGGCAATGGCATGGACAAGGGCAGGGCATTGGCATGTCAGGGCTGCTCGGTGCCACAAAGCAATGAGGTGGGGAAGTTGCAGTTGGACCTGCATCCTGGTGCATTGAGGAGCTGCTGCTGGTAGAGAGCAAGTGAGAAGTAGGAAGGGGCTGTGGGTTGGGAATGAGGGGAATTGGCAGGGCTGGGGGACTGTGGCTTGGGAGTGAGGGGCACCAGCATGTCAGGGCTGCTCAGTGCCACAAAGCAATGGGGGGACAGCTGCAGCTGGACCTGCATCCTGGTGAGCAAAGGAGTCAGAGGGAGCTCTTATTTTCCATGATAAAAAAACCCAAACCAAATGCCAAAATATATAGGTATTTAGAATTCATTTTATTATAACAATTGAGGTACTGGTAGGTTTCCGAATTGCATTAAAATTGTAAGTATATCAATAAAATACTGTGTTCAACTGATATGTATATTTAGAGCAGTGTTTCATTTTAATCGCAAAAAAATTGTGGATTTGGGGTTTAACAGAGAAAACCAGGATCCCTGGTGATTTAAATAAAGTTTGTGTGCTAGGGATTCTGTGGTATGTCAATGCTGGAAATAAAAATAGGCTTCAGATGTAATCTTGGGTTTGAATAACAAATATTTCTTTTGAAACATGGATTTAATAAAGCCAAAAACCAAAACTGAAGACAGTTCTCACAGGGGAGTGGCAGGTGGAGTGATCATATATTCAGAATATGAAAATGGAGACAACTTGTGCTGTGAAAGTATACTTGTCAATTCTTTTAGCTGCCCCAATCCTGAACTTTGGGTCACAATGCAGGGTCTTACTTTTGAAGATTATAACAGAAATGACCCCACAAGACCAAAAAGTTCAGGCATAGTTTCATTCTGCCTTGTGGCTGCTAGGGTAGAGAGAGTATTAATTGAATAGTTGTAAGAGGAAGCCTAATCACAAGCAAGCCTCTGAAGAAATGGGTGGCTGGAATACGTCAGTACTTCTTTGTAAATAAAGCCCAACTCCTGGAAAAGAATAAGTTTCTGCCCTATACTGTGTGTGTAGCAAGGTAGGATAATTCCAGTCTGGGATAACTTCGAATAACTTTGAATCTGATGATCCCACCAGATGTGGAGTAGATACTAGAGCACTATTATGCGGTATGTTTTATTATTCCTGATTTACAGATGGGAGAAGGTTTGTCACACAGATTAAGTGCCTTGCTAAAGGCCACTTGGGAAAGTGGTGGAAATGGGAAGGGAACACAGGAGAACTGGTTATTGGTCTCCTGCTTTTGACCCATGGACATGCTATTGAATTTCCTATATTCCTTCCACTTACCTGTGGGGGAGAAAATGTCATATTCCAGGGGAGTAAACCTTCTTATTTTGCATCCAGAATTGAAGAATGCAACAATAATGCTCAAAGCTGGAGATTATGCAGTACTGTAAAAAGGGGCACATATTAGATGTGCTAGGAGATGTGGCTAATTCAGCCTGAGTTATAATGTGGAAGCCAAAGTTAATTACCAATGAGGCTGCTTCTCTTGTTTAATTTATTTTACTGTTCCCCAGAAGTAATTTATTTTGTACTTTATTTTGATTTTGTTTCAGCATTGATGCTGATGGGACAATGACAGTGGACTGGAATGAATGGCGGGATCATTTTATGTTTAACCCTGCTACAGACATTGAAGATATAATCCGTTACTGGAAACATTCCACTGTAAGTTTGGCTTGCACTTTAGTGCAGCTCAATTTTATACTTATTACATATGATTTTTTAGGCATCATAGAATGCCTCACCTAGATTTTGCTCCTAAACTCATGTCTCTGGAAACTAATCTTAGTATTTCAAACCTTCTGAGAAGCTTCAGGCCTTTACTATATTTCAAATAACGTACTATCTATGGGTGTTTATACATGTGCTCTGGAAGTGGACGGGGGAGGCACTTTAATTAGAGTGGCTTTGAGAACTGCTCTAATTAAAGCACCCAGCTCCGAGAGCTGCTGTAATTAAAGCTGCTCTAATTAAAGTTTTGTCAAGTGAGCTTTAGATAAAGCGCCCCCACCGCCATTTTTAAGTGCTGGGACACTAAGATACGAGATGCCGGAGGCTGCTGGGGCACGCTAGTTATCATACTCGATAAATCAAGTCTGCTCATGTATAGGCACTCTAAATCACAAAATGTTTTTTCTCCAAATATGTTTTTATTCTCATACAGATATTCCTGTTTGAGTTTAAAGTGCTACTCTTAAAATATTTGTGAATTAATATATGTGACTAAGTTACCTCTAAACCTCTTCCCCAGTATTCTGAATTGTTTTTATTTTTAAACAAAAATAAACACCCAACCTTCATGGTAATAATTACCATTACTATTTAAAAACTTGTCTCTCTCTCCTTTTAAGAGCAGATGTAACTTATTTACTAAATTTGAACTAACAGTGTTAAATAGAGTAGTGCCTTTTCTTTGTCATATTTATGCATGTCGTGATGAAAATGAAGGGCTGTATTTAAGCTACTAAAAAAAGGACAACCTTAAACTTCTGACTTGGGAAATTTGGTCACTATTACTTGTAATATTCTTCATCAATCCAGTCGAACAGTTACTTTAACTAAACATCTGTAAGTAAAATTTCAGATTTTTCTAACAGCCATTTGGTTGTGAATGTATCTGTAGCAAAATTGTTGGTAAAAGGAAGAAACAGCATAATGCTTTAGCCAAATTAATGATGTAGTAAATTGACACAAAACAGCTAATGTAAACTCTGTTTTAAAGTATCAGCTATAACAATATTATGAAATGTTATTTTGAAAATATTTGTGAATTAATATATATGACTAAATTACCTTGAAAAACCAGTGTTGTGACAGCATTCTTAAGAAATTAAAAAACTAATCTTGAAGGCTGTATTGGTGAAAGGTTAGCAGTAGCATGTAAGCATTTTAACCTGCAGCATTGGCTGGAAATGTTTTCTGAGCTTGACATTTTCTGTGTTACAGATGTACACAAGACAGAAGTTTGTCATCATTTTAATGATGATGGTGCCGCCTTTGAAATGGTGGATGTAGGGGAGAATTATTCTATAATCTGTTTAGAAGGAAAAACAGTTATTTGCATTCTTGTTTTTTAGAGCTGTTCTTAAGTGAATGACTAGGAAAATCAATATGAAGTTAATTGCAGTACATGCATTATAGAGTCTTTATTTCTTTAACATCAAATTTTGTTTGTACATGGTGATTTATCTGGCATCTGTTTGTAGGTCAGCCAGTCAGAGCTGTTAGCAAAATAACTGAGCAGATGATAGAGGACCAGAAGTTATTTGCACTTTGCTTTGCGTCCTAACAGGTGTTGGATATAGGTGATAGCTTGACCATTCCAGATGAGTTCACAGAGGAAGAAAAGAAGTCTGGGCAGTGGTGGAAACAGCTGTTATCAGGAGGAGTGGCTGGTGCTGTGTCTCGAACAGGAACAGCACCGTTAGATCGTCTGAAAGTCTTGATGCAGGTAGGATGAAACGTTGAAGTACCTTTAATTCTAGTAAGTCATTTTTCCATTTTCAACAGGGAATTGATCTTGAAAACTAGTGGCATTTTAATTCTAGAGAAGCTTTTGAACTATTTAATATGTTGTATTACTTTAGGGTCCCGATCCTGAAATAATCCATGACTAGCTCTTGTAAGTATAACAAGTTGCAGGAATAGACTGTAAATTTTAGAATATTTTTTTCTGCCTTGCTGTTGGTATGTAAGTTACTTTGATGCTTTTCTGCATGTATTCAAAAATTGCACTTTAAAATAAGGTTTTGTTTACAGTGTTTTGTGGAGCACGCAAATTAATTTTTTAGCATCTGAAAAAGTTAACAAAAAAGATAGGAAATTAAGGTCATCAAAATCAGTTATGTTGGTATAAAACAACAGTGTATTATTACTATTATGGAATAAGCTATGTACAACAGCAACATAATTAACATTTTTATATGAACTTTACATATACTTGGAATGACAGGAATTTAATAATTGCTTGAGTACCACTGCATAGAAAATACCATATATCCTAAAAAAAAAGCACATTCCACAGTGCATTTAGGTTATGCGTGTGGAGGCATTTTCTGCATTCTATAGAAAACAAGCATTCATTTTCTTTTTTGACCCAGTATTAGATTTGGAAGAAATACAGCAACAGCTATAAAAACAAGAAATACCGGTGATGATGATTTTCAAAAGAGTCTTTAATTGACAGCCTTTTCCATCAATTAGATTGTAGTATTGGTGATCTAATACAGATATTTGACTGAGACCTGTTAATTTTGGTAATCCTTTCTTGGGCTTTTTTGATCAGTTCATTTGTTTACTTAAATTTTACACTTAAGTGCTCTGTTTCTTGACTCCACACATCTAACTTGAGGTTGTTTTTTTTTCTTACTGTTATCTTAGGTTCACGGTTCAAAGTCAAATAAAATGAATATAGTAGGTGGTTTTAAGCAGATGCTGAAAGAGGGAGGTGTCCGATCCCTTTGGAGAGGAAATGGTGTTAATGTTGTTAAAATTGCACCTGAAACAGCTATTAAGTTCTGGGCATATGAACAGGTAATGTATTAAATCAAGGGGAGTGCTGAATACTAAAAACAAATAAACAAAACCTTAATGCAAATGATGATGATCAAAATATTGATGATGAAGTTATTATAGAATATAGGAATTCTGATCATCGACCAGGAATCCATTTTGCTAGTTTAGAATGACTCGATTTGACTTCATAGTCACATTACTTGCTAAGATTATGCAGATTATTGCTTTTATATTGTGACCAATGTATGTAAGAAATTAAATTTGTCATACCTTTTTAAACAGTCTGCCTACCTGCATAGCCTTTATGGAGTGGTGCTGTAATCTTAACTGCTTAAATCTTGGTTCTACATGGCAACCACACAAAAAATTAGCATACTATTTTATTCTAGCACATATCCATGTACAGGATTCCAGTTAAATCAGATGTCGTTATGCTACTGTAAGATGTCCTTGCCCTCAATTTCAGAGTTATATTTGTCTCTGAATCAGCATTTACATAACATATTAAAGGCCTAATCTTTTTTTTGGAAAGAGATCTCCTTTTCAGTTATGGTTTAGAATACTAGAACATCCAATAACTGATCTTTGCTTTAGTGTTTAAGATGGATGCATCTTGCCAGAGTCCTACAGTACATCATTTGCATTTACAGTTCCTGTACACAATTCTGAATACCATATTTCAGTGGTATTTCGTAGTCTTTCACTAGTGTGTAGTTTTGCCCATCTTCCCCCGCATTTTGCACCTTAAGTTTTGCTCAGCTTTTCAGTGACAGATATTGCCCTTTGTTCTACCTGAACATAACATTTATACTACCTCCTGCCCATAATACTCAATCATTCAGTCCTTGAGCAATTTGAAATTCTGCATCTGCAATGAATTCAGTGTTCTGCCCCATTACTTACATGTGATTGTATGGGAGATTAGCAGAATTTGGCTCCCTTATTGTTTGTCCCAGAATTATTTGAGTCAGCTGAGGATGAGGTCTGTAGCTCTTTTAGTATAAAGGACATTTATGGGTTGAAAAACACATAATACTCTTGTGAATTGTAATGCAAAGAATTGGAGTGAAAATCTTGCTGGGTTTATTAGGTTAAGTAGACCCCTATAGTGCATATGCTTGGGCTTGTATATTGTACCATATTTCTGCTTCTTTTGATGGAACCTACTTGCCTTAGACATATGATACCTTTGTTTCTTACCTACACAGTATAAGAAGCTATTTGCTAACAAAGATGGAAAGATAGGTACAATCGAAAGATTTATATCTGGTTCTTTGGCTGGCGCAACTGCACAGACCTCTATTTATCCCATGGAGGTAAGCAAAACAAGACCTGTTTCCACTGAGAGCAGTGCCCAGATCCTGGTGACTTCAGCTGTGCCTAATTATTATGTTTGCTTGTATTCTATAGACTTAGTGTTTCAGAATCACTCATATGCTCCTACGTATTTTCTGAGAATCCCACGTGGTATGTTCTACACCTGTCCTTTTTTCCTTTCTGGTGCTTTTATTATTTCTTTGTCATTTTCAGATTTTTATTTAAATTGACTTTAAAAGGTTATTTTTTAAATTGGGACTGAGTCATTTTTTCCCTTTTTATAAGCTATAAGCTAGTGTTCTACTTCTTGTGGCATGGATTTCATATTAATTCCCCATTCAGAAAAGCACTCACATTCAGGGCAGCTTTTAAATGTTTGTTTTAAGATTAATTGAAACAGGGTATATGTAGAATGATCCATCCCCTCATGCTCTCTTAGACAGCAGAGGTCTTAGGCTTAGGGATGTTCTTAGCCTGAAATTACATCCTTGACTGAGTTTAATAGTCCCTGATAGACACTTCTTCTCTAAATGTGTTTAATGCTTTATTTTTTTTAAACCCAGTTATACTGGACATTACCCATATTCAGTGTATTATCTTGACCTCCACAACATCCTGTAGCAGTGAGTTCCACAAACTGATTATGTGTTGTATAAAAAAGTACTTCCTATTGTTTTCTGACTGATAACTTCATTGGCTGTCCCCTAGTTCTTGTACTATGAAACAGTGCACAATCATTCCTTACTCACTTTTTCTACATCATTAATGACTATTGGATCCCCCTGTCATCTCCTTTTTTGTTTTTGAAGCTGTGCAGAGAGTGGGAAGTGGGGAAAGATTTAGGTAGAGGAGGTGAACTGTGCAGAGGAGGTTAATCAGCTCTGAGTTTCCCTTTAGTATAGGCTTTGTAGATCCATTTGTTATTTCTTCCATGCTACACAGGACCTGAGAGAATGGTACTGTAGTAACTTCTGTTGGGAATGTAAAAGGGCTGCCTAGTAACTCTTTCTCATCCTACAGTCTGGCTACAAGATACAGTATTTTCCTAAAACCTCTAACTCATATAACGCAGCAGAGGTGCTTGTGCTGGGGCCAAGATATTGGGATTATTGTGGGTAGCTTTCTGAAAACTTCAGCCAAGTGTTCAGCAGCAGTCAAAAGGACAAATAAAATATTAGGAATGACTAATAAGGAATTTGAAAACTAAACAGAAAATATGATCATGCCACACTTGTATTTGAATAATGTGTGTAGTTCTGGTGTCCCCCTCCCCACATTTAAAAAAAGGATATAGTAGAGGTCAGAAAAGGTACAAAAAAGGCGCAACAAGGATGCTGAGAAGCATGGAAAGGTTTCTGTACAAGGGGTGACTAAATAGGCTAGGACTTTTTATCTTAGAGAAAAGATGACTGAGGAGGGGATATGACAGCAGTCTAACACGAAGAATGGCTTCTCATAAAGGGTAAAAAACAACTGCATTCTGTACTAATGGTGATGGTTTTTAAATGGAGTCATTTCTCTCAGTCCAGTCAAATCATAGATGGCTTCTAAGTACATAGACATTTTGAACTATAAAACAACATAAATGCTGTATCATAGATCAAGTATCTTAGTATGTAAGAATGGACAAATTGTTCTACTATAAAGTACCCCTCTCTTAATACTACCTTAATACTACAATTAAGTGGCTGGTATGGTGCTTCTGACCAGAATAGAAAGCTAAAGTGCCAGCATGAAGGAACTGCTTCCTGTGAAATTTATAATTAGGCCAAATTCCTGCTGTATTCTTCACTTCTGTATGCTAAACTGCTGTGTAGAATCATGTGTACTGTTAAATAGCTGTAGCATGTCAATAGTGAACAAAGTGATCTCTGTGTATTTTAATTGCCCAAGGTGCCTTGAAGCTTCTTTAATCTTTTTGTGTTTCATCATTCTCGGATGCAAAATCATGATCCTCAAAGATTTTAGAAGAAATTAGTTCATGTTTCTTCACAGTCCCTACTTTTCTGTGTGGTTTATACAATTATTTGTAAACTAGAACCTCAGTTAAAAGTTCAGCATCTGATGCCTTCTGAATTTATTTTAGAAAAAAGTCTGTCTTGTATATAAGAAGGGGATGGGAGGACAGAACCCAGCTTTAAGAAATTAATATAGGCTTTCACTGTATTTGACTCTCAAATTTAACTGAGGTGTTCCTTTTAGAAATAATAAAACCAGATGTGACCAAACCTTAAATGTAGTTATTACAAGAGCAGAAAAATGTAAAGAGGTTGTCTTTTGAAACCATGGTGTAATATGCTAGATATTAGATAATCCTATATAACTGCATTTTTCTCTGTTAGGTCTTAAAGACTAGACTGGCTGTGGGCAAAACAGGACAATATTCTGGGATGTTTGACTGTGCCAAGAAGATTTTAAAAAGAGAAGGTGTAAAGGCCTTTTACAAAGGTTATATTCCCAATATTCTGGGTATAATTCCTTATGCTGGCATAGATCTAGCTGTTTATGAGGTGAGTAGATCAGAGACGCAAGTAGAGTAAAAATGTAAACTAATGGTAAATTATACCTTGCTTGCTAACATCTGTAACTTGCTTGTTTGAGTGTTTCACGCAACTGATTATAAAACAAACAAACAAACAGCCCATGTTGTTGTAATCCGTACCAGTTTTTAACATCTTCCTTGTCTTTATCATGTGTTTGTTTTTTTTCTGTAAGAAATCTACTTTGGGGGACAGAATAGCAGTCTTAGCTTCTCCCTGTTAGCTTCTCTCTCCCTGGAATCACCAAGTACTCTCCTGGCATGTGTAAAAATTACTCCTGTGGATAAAGATCTGATATACTTTTAGGAAGTGAATTTTAGTGACCTTAAATTTGGATGTTGGCCATCTAGTGGTTTCAGTGCAACATGTTCATATCCTTCCTAGACATCTCTGGCGCTGAGCATGTTGTTGTCTTGGATCATGTTAGGTTACCAAACCCTGCACTATTTACAATATTTTTTCACAGTTCCTCTCATGAGTGAGTGGATTACAGTAATCTGAACCCATCATAAATATGGTTTCTCTGACGTGTCTGGCTACCATTTTGCTTCTACAAGGAGTTTATGGTATTGCTTTTGTCCTTTAGAGCCCTAAATAGGACCCCAAAGTTGATCTGGATCAGCCAACATGATTGTGAAAAACACACTGGCTTTCCCTCCATACAGCGGAAGGTGTATTTAAAAACACTGTAACACAAGTCTGCTAACACAGTAAGCAACGCTCATTTTTTCCAGTCTAGACAGGGGCTTGGTGGCCCAGTGCTTTCCTTGATGTTAACTATTCTAGAACTCACTTTCCAGCTGCCTCATGGTGCGAAATACCCTGTCTTGTCATTCCCTGTACATGGTTCATAGCACATGTATATTTCAGTTGAAAAAAATCTAAGTGGAGTAGAGCCAGTAAATTTCAAGTAGAAATAATCTGATGTTCACAATAAACTTTGAAGATGCATTTTAATACTAATTTATTTACTACATTTTTTTACTTGTTTTGTGTTGCTTGTCATTCAGCCCCAAAGCACTTTTTTCCTCATGGTGCTGAATGTTCTGTCTGTCTGATCAAGCAAAGTGCTTAACTTTAGAGAGAAGGATAATGTCATAAAGGTCAATGGCACATGGTTAAGGGCTTTGGATTGGGCTAGAGTGCTCATTGAGTACATAAATGGAAGCAGATGAATTGTTCAAAATTGTAGCTTACTATAAAGTCTGCATAACTATCTCCCTATAAAGTTTTATGTACATTCCATGCAAATCCATACTTTATTTTCATGGCAGGCTTTGAAGAGTACATGGCTAGAACATTATGCATCAGACTCTGCTAATCCTGGTGTCCTTGTGTTGCTGGGATGTGGTACTGCTTCCAGCACCTGTGGTCAGTTAGCCAGCTACCCTCTTGCACTTATCAGGACTCGCATGCAGGCTCAAGGTAGGTCTCATGGTACCAGTGCCTTGGGCCCCAACAGGAGCAGGGATTTTTTTAAAAGTAAAATCAGACTCCTGAGATATCACAAGCCTTCACTCCAATGCAAAAATCACCCAGGGTTCAATATCCACTTACTGTCTAAAAACATTCTCTATCCCTGTACCACTTTCTACTCTAAACTATACCTAGAGGTCCTGCACACGCCATGAGCAACTGACCTTGCCACGCAAAGCCCCTGCCACCTAATGGCTTCCTCATGCAGTTAGCTCACACAGTGATCAAATGTCCTTTCAATCCCCTCTTGGGGATATTGGCAAATTGAACACCCAAAGCCTCATATTAGAAGTGTTAATGACTGTCTCCAAGATGATTCCTATCTTACCATACCATTCCATTCATAGACTTTTTCTGCAAATTTAATCTTGAAACACTGTATTCCTTGTTCCCAGCATCTTGTTCAGAAGGCCCTTCCAGGTCTTCAGTGGTCTGGTTAGAAACCTCCTGGATTTCTAGTCTAAACTTACCCATGACCAATTTATATCCATTCAGTCTTTTTACCAGTATTATTATTACACTTGCATTTTTTCTCTGTTTTCCTCCAACCATCCCAATGTATTTATAAAGATACTGTATATTCCCTCTCAAAATTTAACTTGTTTATGGAGCTCCAGCCCCAAGCACTATTTAGTAAAAGCAAAACACCCATTTCTTAAAAAAAAAAAATTAGTCCATTAAAGCATTAACGAGACCAACTACATGAGAGAGGAACTATCTAAGATACCAACTAAGGAATCTGTGACCATTGAGGAAAATAAGACCACCACTGAAAGAGATCACTTACCAACTGATCCATCTAGATTGGAAGAAAAGAGATGACAGAAATTTATAAAAATGAAATATATTCCCCCAGCAATGGAAGTAAAACAAATGAGACTTGGAGAACACATTGCTAGGAATTTGCTCCCTGCGGAGTGTTTCATGGAGGGAGTTTCATAGCCAGGGTCTTCAGCTGATACAGGCCTACCCCAAAACTAGATATAGAAGCCCATAGTCCTCAAAGGTATTCCAGCAGCAAAACTCCCTTTTTGGAGCAGACTTGCTTGTTGTACTAGAACAGTGATTTTCAATCACAGTGCCATGGCACTTGGGGGTGCCACAGCATCCTTTTAAGGGTGTTGCACAGTATTAGCACTACTAGGTGTGCAAACACCTACATGATTCACAAAGGGCACATATACAAGTGACAGGTCCCTGAACATGCTCTACAGCTGTGACGTAACACACGTGCATGGCTGCAGAGTGCTTTTAAAATGACTGATCACACAAAAAAATAACCCTGGTCAAATGAGGTCTTAGATTAAGGTGCTCTAAAGCAGAGCACCTAAGGGAACTTGTGTTCCTTCTAAGGTAATTTTTTTGTGCAGTGGGTGGTGCTACCAGCCCAGCCCTGCCCACTGGGCTGTCACGGGGTGGGGAGGGGAAAGGGGAGGGAGCTGCAGCTGCACTGAATGGCCAGAGCTGAGGGGGGGTGGTGGTGGTAATGGAGCACCCTTGTCTTGTGGGCCTGGCCCAGCTCTCCAGACCCTAGCCAGACACCTGCATTATGAGTGTTTCTATAAGTTAATGTTTATATAAAGTTAATGGAATTTTTGATAGAGGTTGACCTTGTTGTAATTCTTTCCTTTTGTAGCCTCAGTGGAAGGAGCCCCACAGCTAAACATGGTTGCTCTCTTTCAAAAAATAATTTCTGCAGAAGGGGTCCAAGGACTGTACAGGGGCATAACTCCTAATTTCATGAAAGTGCTTCCAGCTGTCAGCATTAGCTATGTGGTATATGAAAAAATGAAGCAAAATTTTGGAATAGCATGAGCACAAGAAAAAAGGGGAGATGTCTTTACCCTTGACAGGAAGATTCAAACTGAAATGATTTTTTAAAAATAATTGATTTGTTCTCTTAACTGGAGAATAGTTCTTTGTGCAGAAATTCTATAGCTTTTTCTTTTGTCCTTCCACCCCCAAGTTGGAAGAAACTGCCATGAGTTTCCATCCCACTGTTCCAAAATAGCTAGCAGCCTTGCACTTTAAAAACATGTCCCTGAATTATAAAAATCAAGAAACACAGCATCTTTAGTCAGTTGCCAGTTAAAACACTATCAGGAAATCATCCATAGTTTAGCTCTGAGCTTTCATTTTCTTATCCCCTTACTGTGTACTTAACTGGGGTGAGGCCTAACTTGGAGAAATTTTATATCCATTTGTATTACAAAATTCAAATTTATCTTGTCCTGCTTACACTGCGAATACTCAACCAATTCACAACTAACCTTTTGTATTTATCTTCTGTAAAGAAAATACTGCTTTTTGGTATATTAAAAAAAAAAAAGTCCTGTTTAAAGCACAGAACCAAAAACACATTGCTTTAGATGCAGGCAAGAAAGAATAATGCTTAAAAATTAGTCCCGATCATTTTGTTTCCTTGAAGAGAAAACTCTTGGCTTATATTTCAACAAATGAACACATGGGAAGATGTTGCTCCATGGTATTAGAATACCTCAAGCTGAGTCAAATCCTGTTTCTTTTGATGGTCCAGTTAAGACCTTTGTAGTTTTTTCACTGGGTTGCTTTCCATTTCATACGTAAATACTGATACCATTAATCAAGACAGTCTTGCTTCCTGTTGTAAGTGTTATAGCATCCTAACATATAACAGTATAAAATAACTCTTGGATCACACTGATTCCAACTCCTGCAAGTTGTGAACTAGGAATTGCAATTTCAGTTAAAGAATATATCCAGTATTACACTGATGCCACCTTCCTTGCTTTTATACTCATACATTCCTGTTAGTACAGTCACCATAGCCAACAGCTCAGGGATAATCATGATTGCCTTAGTGGGGCTGGGAATGCTTTCCTTGTTAATGCCTTAGGATGAATCCCTTTTTCTTTCCTCAGATGGGTTGAAATTTAAGCATTATCCTTCTAGGTGGAGAAGTACCGTTTATAATCCAAGGCTTACATTCACTCCCATGCCTCTGGACCCACCTCCAAGCTCAGGGTGTGATATTAGCACCAGGAAAAGACTAGTTTATCTGAGTGGCTGTTAAAGCAGAACTCAGGCTTCTCTTATTAACAAGCAAAGATCCCAACAAATCACCCACAGCTTATGCATTTGCTTATTATGGAATCAACATTTCCCAACTTCCCCTGTATCAGGAATACATATATTTATATATACATGCTTCCTGAATGGCTTCCTCATTTTAAGGCCTGTTTCAGGTGCCTGCTAGCCTGAACATTGGCACAAAGAATTACTTTGTATAAATTCTAGGGAATGGAGTCACAGGCAGAATTCCAGCCTATCCATGCCATAGACACAGAGGTAACCTTTGTCATTCCTGAGTTGTTAACAGCTATGTCTCAGTTTGCTGCCTTTGGCTTGCACCCTGAAATTGAGTTGGTTTGAGCAGAACCTATTTGCATACTCGGCTTCGCTGTTGTCAGTGCAACCTCAGTGTGACAGCAAGTGGTCTGCCTTGTCTCAATTGTAGCATCAGGGCTATAATTTTCATAAGGACTTGAGCTGTGTTCTTCAAGTAATACAATCTGTTAAAGAGAATCTGTGGTCAGTGCAACTTCCAGCTGCAATGTATTTTCAGTTGTCCCATGTCTGATGTTTTAAAATGGCAGCTTTTTCTGGCTTTAACTTGATCTCAATGAGTCTTCTAGGGCAGGGGTACTTTGGAGGGCCCTAGGGGGTATGTGCAGGTGGGCAGAGATGGGAGGGGGGTGAGGGCACCGGCGCCCCTGTGGGCTGCACATGGTGGCCGCTGCTGCTTCCCACCACCCTGCGCTGCAGCCTCCCTACCGCTTCTAGCCCCCCACCACCACTCCACATGTGGCTGCGCGCCACCCCCACTCCATGCCCACCCTCCCGCTCGGCGGCTGAGCTACTCTGCTCCACGTCCAGCTGCCTGGGGGTACAATGATAGAAAAAGTTTTAAAACCCCTGCTCTAGGGAAACCTCCATGTTCTGCATTTATTTTAAAAACCAAAGAGTAAATCACTTCACCCCAATCATAGTACTTGAGTACCACATCTTTCTGATCTGAATGTCTTTTTCTTTGCTGCTTTCTCTGTACTTACATGTGATTTACAAGATCAATTCTGTTTCTCAATTGTGTTGTTTGACTGTAACCTTTTAGTAGGTATATTCAGTGTGCAATGTGAAGATGACCTAAACAGTGTCTGTCTACTAGACACTGTCCATTAAGTTAATATTTAAGTGCTATTATGAGTGATAATTGCAGCGGTGATATTTTCCACTTCGGGAGTACATGCAACTTGAGCTCTAGCATCTCACTATGTGCCTTCAAAGGGCTGTGTTCAAATTGTATGCTCTTAGCCTGTTTTAAAAAAAACAAAAACCCTGATGTTTACTTTTATAGATCTGTAAATCTACCAGTTTATAATAAATGTCTTTTTCCTAATCTGGCTTGTGTAAATATTTTGTAGCTCAATAAGGATATGTAAAGGTGACAACTTCCCTTACTCCAGCATGTATGTGTATGTTAATGTCAAAATAAAAATAGCTGCTCAGAAAACAAGTATTAAGAACATTATTTGCATGCATAATTTGGAATTTTGGAGCATTATTTATGGCCTACACTACAGAATCAGTGGTTGTGGGACAATTAAGATATATGAGACTATGTAATTTCTTGTTGCTCTAGTTCCAGGCATTAACATGGATCAAAAGAGATGATTAAAACCAAGATTTGATGTTGCCTATGCTTGCAGATAGAACTATAGTTTACCCATCAGAGCCACTGAATGTGTAAGAGTTACTTGACATGGTTGATGCTCGTTATAACTCAATGCTTTATCCAGCAATCAAAGGATTAATACAAAACTTTTTCAGAGCTGCTGACTTAATTGTACAGGTAGCAGGGCTAAGCAGTGAGGAAGCAGCCAGAATTAAGAGTTCCTTTTTGAATCCCCAGTTCTTTGCATCACCTCTTCATTATCCCTTTTAAGGCCAATATTTCAGAGAGAAAAAAGTCCCACATTTGAACAGCTTTTGTCATCTATACCTCTAAACAATTTAAAAAGATTTAGTACTGACTGTTTTCCTATATACTAGGGAGGAGTTAGGGACTATGAATGTGATTCCTAATTCACTGACCATTTTATCATTCAGTTCTGAGACACAAATGCATGAACATTCAGGGCTGTTATGGGACAGACTCAGTCATGACTGCAGAAAAGGATACAAAATGTAGTGCCCACCTGTTTTATGGTGAAGTTGGAGATGATGGCAGGAAATGTTGTTTGTGTATTGATAGTTCTGCTATCTAGCATGAACTTGAATGTTTTGTGAGATGGGACTTGAATGTATGATGGAAAAAAATATCAGCTTTTCCTCAAACCAGTAAACAAATTAGTATGTATAAACATATCAGTATTAGGGCTGTTAATGAGCGTGATTAACGCATTAATCTGTGTTTGCATTATTTTTTTTTAACGAGCGTTAATCACTGCTGGTACTGGGGGAAAAGTGACTCTGCCCCACTCTCTGCTGTGTGCCTGGCTGTGCATGCTGGGGGAAAAGTGGCCTCTCTTCCTTACTGCTGCCAGGCTGCACGCACATGTGCGCAGGCACAGACACCCAGCCAGGCAGGATCCTGAGAGCAGACTTGGCAGCTGGATGCAGGTGAGTGTATGGGGGGTGGTAGTTGGAGGACCAGGTTTTGGGGACTGTCTAGACCAGGGGTGGCCAACCTGCAGCTCCGGAGCCACATGCAGCTCTTTAGAAATTAATATGCATCTCCTTGAATCTTTGCACAAGCACACAGTGACCAAATGGAAGCTGGTTACTATGTGCTTGTGCAAAGATTCAAGGAGACGCATATTAACTTCTGAAGAGCCGCATGTGGCTCTGGAGCCGCAGGTTGGCCACCCCTGGTCTAGGGTGTTTGTACGTGTGTGAGGGGGGGCAGGTGCCTGCTGGTACAGGGGGAAGCTATCTGGGCACTAGGGCTGCGGAAGGGCAGGGTGAGGTGCCTGCCCCTCTAACAGAGGAGTCAGGCGGGGAGGGGGGACCCTCTTTGAGGGCAGTGGGGAGCTCCATGGCCAGGCCAACAGCGCAGGGGCTGGTGCATGTGCTTGTGGCCTGAGTGCAGGGCTGGGGTGGCAGAGTGAGGGGCACCAGCAATTACAAATACATGATAGAATTAAATAATAGAAAAATTGGGATTCTATTGTTGTTTAACTGTGTGATTAATCACAATTACTTTTTTAATCTTGTGATTAATTGTGATTATGTTTTTTTTTAATCATTCTACTGCCTTAATAAATGACCCCAACCTTCTTACTGAGACAGCTGAGTGCTACAATCTCCTTTCCAATGTCTGGTCCTGACAATGCCACAGAATACAGCACCACATCTAGCATTTGCTTCATGAAATAGAAAATTGATCATAAATCTAAAGCAACTTCTTCATACCTGCTCCTGTAACATCCAAAGCATTCCTTCAGTTATGACTTTCAGAAGCCCTCTAGTGACCGTAGAAGTCTGCATCATGGAAACGCATCTGATTTCACGCTTGAAGTTATGTCACTGATGCGTTTGTGAAGCTACCAGCAGATGCCATGCACATAGTTTCCTACTTTTCCTTGTAAACTGGCTGAATTCTGGACCTTAGTGAAATGCATTTCTTTTTCTTATGTCTGTTTACATAATATTCTATATCTGACATTCTGCAGTTTGATGAATATTTTCTAGAACAGCTTAAGGAATGCCTTACATATATAGAAACAATCAAGCTGCAGTACACCTGGGCATTTTTCATCTGTAGATTTTACAAGATGGAGATAATTACTATCACTTTACAGTTGGAGAAACTGAAGCACAGAAATGGTAAGTAACTGTCTCCAAGACATCAGGATGTCAATGGCAAGCTTAAAAGCCTAGAATCATAGTATAGAGAAGTAGGGTTGGAAGGGACTTTTAGAGGCCATTTAGTCCAATCCCCTGCCTGAGGCAGGATTATCCCTATCTACAGCATCCCATACAAATCCATTGTCTAATCTCTTAGCCAAGTAAGGCCCAGAAGCATGTTAAATACCAAGTAAGGCCCAGAAGCATGTTAAATATCCATAGTCAAACACAGGTATAGCTATTCCGACATCATCCCTAACTCAATACCTGTCCAACCTCCTCTTGAACACCTCCAGTGATGGGGATTCAACTACTTCTTTAGTAGGTTATTCTATTCCACTGCTTCACCTGTTTTCCTGCAACTTCAAGCCATTGGTCCATGTCCTGCTTTGCAACAAGAGGGAAAAGGTGTTTTCTCTCTTTATGGTAACCCTTCAAGTTTTTTAAGACTGTTCTCATGTTTCCATCATGGGTCTGCTACCCCATTACTAAGGAGGAGAGGGTCAGGGAACTACAGGCTGTCTCCAGGACTCTACAGGGACTATTGGGAATTAAGAGGCTCTGAGAGAAGCAACCTGTTTGGTTCCCAGGCACTCATACTACAGCCATGGAGGCACCAAACATCTGGACTCAGTCTGGTCTTTGTATTCTGTCTCCTTGGCCTAAAGGGAGGATGGAAGGCCTGGGTGGCCTCCACTCCTCCAAAAAAAATTCCTGCCCAGGCATATGTATCAAAGGTCTGGGTGGCCCTCATGCATACACCGTGATCCAGGAGGACTGACAGTTGCCACAGAGAGAAGCAGTTGCTCTGCCCCAAGTGTGGGAAGCAAAATCAGAACCTGCAACACAGAGGCTGCAGGGGCTCCATGCCATTTCTAACAGGCCTGATGGGGAAAAAGCCAGACAGGTGACCCAAGGGCATGTAGCTAGAGCCTTATAAGGCCAAAACCCCTGGGTGAGGCCTCATTTTGGCCCTTGTAAGGCTTGGAGAAGGAACTCCAGACCACAGGGACTAAAGGAAGGCAGGCAGTGATCCTGCGTGGAAGCTAAGTAGTTTGTCTTGTATGTTTATCTGTATTAATGTGTAATGCCAAAAAACTGGGTTGTGGCTGTGGGGTTAGATGGAGATCATGGGGGCAACTGGGGAGGCACTGCCAATATATGGAGGAATTGAGATTGGTAAAAGATGATAAACTGGGAGGAGGCCCTAAGTCCAAAGTAGTGAGACAGAGAGAGAGGGGAGCGTGAAGCTTCTAGGAGACTGAGTGAGAAGCCCTGCTTGAGTGAGGGTGTAAGGATCAGAGCAGACTGTCAACTTGATGATGATCAGGGTGGCGCAGGCACCAAGGGCATTTTTACATGTGCTCAGGGGATGGGTGAGGGAGGGCTTTAAATAGAACGTCTCCGAGAGCCACTCTAATTAAAGTGTCCGTAGCATCTCGTGTATCAGTGTCCACATGCTTCAAAATGGTGCTTTATCTAAAGCTTGTTGAACAAGCTGTAGTTAAAGTGCCCCCGCCACCATTTTGAAGATTGGGGACACTGATTCACAAGATGCGGAGGCTGGCTGGAGCACACTAACATGCTGCAGTGGACTCAACTGAGTCTGCTCTGACGCACTGTAATTACAGCGCATTGGAGCAGCCTCCCAGCTCATGTACAGGCACCCCAAAG